GATTTACGTTCTTACAAAAAGTCTCTCTTAAATATCTTTTGACAAACATGTTTAGCTTCTGATAAGAATATTTTTGAGCAAGTAAACTTTATTCTTTAAATATTTCAAAAATCAGCAAATTTTACGGGCGTTATCGAGTTTTTAGTTCCAGATTTATCTAGGGGTCAAACTTGAAGTTGATGTTTTCAAAGATCTTTTGAATATACATTTTATCAAGAGCAATAACTTTTTCAAATATCAAAAAAAAAATTGTTAGATTTCCCCCTATATTCATGAATACAAGAAAGATTTCATACTACAATAATCTTTTTGCCACCTTGTTAAAGGTAACAAAATAGATTAGTGTAATACAAATCTTTCTTGTATTCACTTTTATCTCTTTATTATTTTTTTTTTCAATACACATTGGTGAATAATCAACAATTGAAATCAACCGTCTCCTCTTATTCATTTGCGCGCACCGACAACTAACAGGCAGCGCGCCTCTCTATTTTTTGCATGCAGAGTGGGCGGGGCTTAATAAATCTCCATTTTTTTCAGTGCGCATTTTATATTCAACATTTTGACTTTGGTAAATATAAGCGTCTTGGCCGAGTGGTATGCATTGATGCATATTGTACGCTGAACCAAAGTTCGATCCCCCTCACCACCTACCTTTTTTTCTTTTTTTTTCTATTTTCTAGAAAAAGCTATTTTACATTAAGACTAGGGGCTGTTAGCCCCCAGGCGTAACAGTCTTCTCATTTTTTTCAGGTTCACTTTTTTCTGTGATTATTTTGAATATTCTGTGGAAAACAAATTCACGAAAATAAAAATTTCAATTTTTGTCAGCTACCCGCTCAAATCGAAATTTTCATTTGGGCGGGTATTTTTGTCAAACAAAAAAACTCGGGCCGATTTTTTTGAAAAAACTCGGGTCGATTTTTTTTTTGAAAAAACTCGGGCCGATTTTTTTTTGAAAAAACTCGGGCCGATTTTTTTGGAAAATCTCAGGCCGATTTTTTTTGAAAAAACTCGGGTCGATTTTTTTTTTGAAAAAACTCGGGCCGATTTTTTTGGAAAATCTCAGGCCGATTTTTTTGAAAAAACTCGGGCCGATTTTTTTTTTTGAAAAAACTCGGGCCGATTTTTTTTGAAAAAACTCGGGTCGATTTTTTTTTGAAAAAACTCGGGCCGATTTTTTTGGAAAATCTCAGGCCGATTTTTTTTTGAAAAAACTCGGGCCGATTTTTTTGGAAAATCTCAGGCCGATTTTTTTGAAAAACTCGGGCCGATTTTTTTTGAAAAAAGTCGGACCGATTTTTTTGGAAAATCTCAGGCCGATTTTTTTGAAAAAACTCGGGCCGATTTTTTTGAAAAAACTCGGGCCGATTTTTTTTTTTGAAAAAAGTCGGACCGATTTTTTTTTTTGAAAAAACTCGGGCCGATTTTTTTTTTTGAAAAAACTCGGGCCGATTTTTTTTTTTGAAAAAACTCGGGCCGATTTTTTTTTGAAAAAACTCGGGCCGATTTTTTTTTTTGAAAAAACTCGGGCCGATTTTTTTTTTTGAAAAAACTCGGGCCGATTTTTTTTGAAAAAACTCGGGCCGACTTTTTTTTGTTTGACAAAAATACCCGCCCAAATGAAAATTTCGATTTGAGCGGGTAGCTGACAAAAATTCAAAAATTTTGATTTTCGTGTATACAGTCAACAAAAAAAAAGTAACAGATTTGGATTAATCCAAAAATGTAAAAATGAAGTCGATGAGTTGGGACCTAAATGACACTTCCTCTCAGGCTTAGGCTTAGTAAATCACCTAGAACCAACTTTGAAGCTAAAAAAAATTGAATGAAAATTACGACCAAATTTAGATAAAAAAATTTCAAGTTTTGTGATCAAAAAATGATTCGTGGCAAAATCAGGAAGGCTTTCTAATTTTGCCATGGATGAAGTCATCGATAAAGAGTTTATCTAGGGGTCAAACTTGCAGTTGAAGTTTTCAATGAGACACAATTTTACAAGAGCAATAAATTTTTCAAATATCAAAAAAAAATTGTTAGATTTCCCCCTATATTCATGAATACAAGAAAGATTTCATACTACAATAATCTTTTTGCCACCTTGTTAAAGGTAACAAAAAAGATTAGTGTAATACAAAATCTCTCTTGTATCCACTTTTATCTCTTTATTTATTTTTGAGTATCCATATTGGTGAATAATCAACAATTGAAATCAACCGTCTCCTCTTATTCATTTGCGCGCACCGACAACTAACAGGCAGCGCGCCTCTCTATTTTTTGCATGCAGAGTGGGCGGGGCCTAATAACTATCCATTTTTATCAATGCGCATTTTATATTCAACATTTTGACTTTGGTGAATAAAAGCGTCTTGGCCGACTCGTATGCATGGATGTATATTGTACGCAAAACCAAAGTTCTATCCCCCTCGCCACCTTCTTTTTTTTTAAATATTTGTTATCTAGAAAAAGCTATTTTACATTAAGAAACCTCTAAATTCAGCAATTTTCTCCTTAAGAAAAAAATTGCAAGATTGTGGTTTTCAAACAACACTCCGCATGCTTCTAATTTAGCAACGAAATTTTTTCCGATTTCGCAATACCTTGAAAATTTTGAAAAAGAATTGGGAGATTCGGAATTAGAAGAGAAAATCTTAAGATTTTTGAAAGATGAAAAAGGTTAGGGAAACCAAAATGTATTGATATTTCACAGGATTCAAAAAATTATTGGAAAAAAAAATTCTATGAAGTTTAATTTCAAATCAGGAAAATTTCTTGCCTCTTATTTTTAAATTTTTTTTGAATTCTATAAACTTTCAGACTTCTTCATTGTCTTCCTCGAAAACTAATTTATTTAACAAATTAGCATTTAATCGATTGATTATTTTCCCTGAATCACCGAATTAAAAACCTGAACGCGGAAATAAATATTTCCATCATTATAGTAGTTTCCAGAATCCTCGTCAGTCACTTTTTCAAGAACCAAATTTTGGCCAACTTTTTTGGTCACTGGAGCATTTGCCACTTTTTTCTTGGTCTGAAAATCAGAGAGGGATTTCAAGATTTCCTCCTAGAGACCAACTAACCTTTGTATCTTCCCAATATCCACAAGTCTTTGCATTTTTCCCATCACAAACTCGATAAACTTGAATACCTCCAGCGCTTCCAACAGATCTCATGAGCTCTTTTGAATCTCCAATACTGAGTGTTGCATTTTCGCCAGCATTGAAATAGAATTCTGGGATAGAAGCTAGAATCAAACTACTAGCAAACACGAATAAAATTGTGAAAAATAGGATTTGACTAGTCATTTTGAAGAGAAGATTGTGATTTTTTGTGAAATGAACACGTTTTATACTTCCCTGACATGAGATGTTTTTTATGTTCCCGCCTCAAATTTACAACACGGAAGTTTTGATAGAACATATCTTATCTTTTTTTGGCAGTTGTTGGTTTTTTTTTTTGGAAAAAAAAAGTTTGGAAAAGGTCAAAGAAAAATCGTCGATTTCTTGTGTGACTTTACAATTTCAAACATGTTGTTCGCGTGAGTTGACTTCTGAAACTTTTTGAAGCCGTTTGAAATTTCTGAAGCCTTCCAAAACCTTCTGAAGTCTTCGAGAGCTTTCTGAATGCTTCTGAAGCCTTCCAAAATCTTTTTAAGTTTTCGGGAGCTTTCAGAATGCTTCTCAAGCCTCCACAATTTTTCTTAAGCTTTTCAAAGCCTTTTTCAGACTTTCTGAAATTTTCTGATGGTTTCTAAAGCTTTCTGAATCTTTCTTTCACCTCCACAATTTTTCTTAAGCATTCTGAAGCCTTCTCAAGTCTTCTGAAGTCTTCGGGAGCTTACTGAAGGCTCCTAAAATCTACTGAAGTCTTTCGATGCTTTCTGAAATCTTCCAAACTTTACTGAAGCCTTCTGTAGCTCTCTGAAGTTATCTGAAGACCTCACAATTATTCCCAAGTTTTTTGAAGCCTTTTTAGACTTTCCAAAACCTTCTGAAGTCTTCGGGAGCTTTTTGAATGCTTCTCAAGCTTCCACAAACTTTCTCACGCCTTTCAAATCCTTTTCAGGCCTTCTGAAACTTTCTGATGTTTTTGAAGTTTTCTGAAGCCATCTGAAGCCTTCTGAAGCCTTCTGAAGCCTTGTGAAGGCTCCTTAAAACCACTGAAGTCTTTCGATGCTTTCTGAAGCCTACTTAACTTTACTGAAGCCTTCTGTAGCTCTCTGAAGTTATCTGAAGACCTCACAATTATTCCCAAGTTTTTTGAAGCCTTTTTAGACTTTCCAAAACATTTTGAAGCCCTCGGGAGCTTTCTGAATGCTTTTCAAGCCTCCACAGTTTTTCTCAAGCCTTTCAAATCTCTTTTTAGACTTTCTGAAGCCTCTGAAGCCTTCTGTAGCTTTCAGAATTATTTCAACAAAGAAAAAACAATTTTTTCCAAAAAAAATTGGTTTATTAGAGAAAAAATTGGTTCAACAGTATAATTCATAACAAAAATCAAAAGAAGTGCTCGAATATTATCATTCACAGGGATAAAACATAAAAAACCGGTGTCAAGAAATAATTACCAGTAGATAGAGAAAGGCACATAATAAAAGAGATCTTCGAGATTTACTCGGGAATATGATTGATTATTTTGGACAAAAAATGGCTTACACGCTTAAAAAATTAACAACAGATAAAATCCCTAGGTCCCTAAACAAGCTCTAAAAATAACAAACAGCATAAAAATGAATGAAAGAGAAAATTGGTTGTGAGGCTAGGGAAATTAGGCCTAGCCTGGCACATTTTCTCCCAAAAACAAATAGGAGAACACGGAAAAAAAGATGGGGGAGGGGATCAGAAAAAAAAAATTGGGGGGCTGTAAAAATCAAAACAAAAAATGAAAAATGTGGTTTGTGAGGCTAGGGAAATTACGCCTAGCCTGGCACATGTTTCAAGAACAAAAAGAGAATGACAAGACAAAAACAGACAAGACAAAAACAGGATTTGGAAGAGAGCTCACTTGTCTGATCCTGGAACGCAGGATAATCCGCGAAGACGGAGTTCGGAAGAAGATCTGGAAAAAAAGTTTTTTGTTTTGATGATCTAGAGGTTAGAAGCTCAGAAATTAGACAACAAACCCTAGGAGACCCTCTGAATTTTTTTCAGAAATCTGGAGAAAAGTTCTAGAAGGCTAAAAATCTCAGGAAAATTTTTAAAAGATCTTGAAGTCTTTACAAGATCGAGAGGCCTGGGAATTTCCCTGAACTTTTCAGAAATCTAGAGGAAATTCTAGATGAGCCCTATACGATTTTTAGAAGTTATAGAACCCATCTGAATTTTGGAGAAAACTTCTAGAAGGCTAAAAATCTCAGGAAAATTTCTGAAAGATCTTGAAGTCTTAACAAGATCGAGAGGCCTAGAAATTTCCCTGAACTTTTCAAAAACCTAGAGAAAATTCTAGACGAGCCCCATACGATTTTTAGAAGTTCTAGAAAACCTCTGAATTTTGGAGAAAACTTCTAGGAAGCTAAAAATCTCAGGGAAATTTCTGAAAGATCTTAAAGTTTTTACAAGATCGAGAGGCCTGGAAGATTCCCTGAACTTTTCAGAAACCTAGAAAAAATTCCAGATGAGTCCGGTTTTTAGAAGTTCTAGAAGACCTCTGAATTTTGGAGAAAAGTTCTAGAAGGCTAAAAATCTCAGGAAAATTTCTGAAAGATCTTGAAGTCTTTACAAGATCGAGAAGCCTAGAAGATTCCCTGAACTTTTCAAAAACCTAGAGAAAATTCTAGATGAGTCCTATAAGATTTTGAGAAGTTCTAGAACACATCTGAATTTCGGAGAAAACTTCCAGAAGGCTAAAAATCTCAGGAAAATTTCTACAAGATCTTGAAGTCTTCACAAGATCGAGACTAATTCTAGAAATTTCCCTGAACTTTTCAAAAACCTAGAGAAAATTCTAGATGAGCCCTGAACTTTTTTTTAGAAGTTCTAGAAGACCTAATGATTTTTTTTCAACTACAAAATTCCCCCAAATCCAAAAAAAACTCACTGTCTTTGAGTAGTTGGGAGGGCCGATCCTCGTCGTGTTCTCATCTGGCTCGACTTTTTCAACTTTACTTGTTTTCTCAATTCGTCACCAACTTCAACAAAGATTCTCTCATATTCACCAATCATTCGTTTCGCTCTTCGAGTTCTTTCAATATCCAACAACTTCGTTTGATGCTCAATGATTTGCGAAATCGCTTTCCATCCAATTCTATCCGACTTTTCCATGTCCATTTTTTGCGAATTCGCATCAACCAAACGTGGCAACAAGACATATTTCAAAACTCGAATTTGGATGAGCTCGAAGTTGGGGAATGTCAATCCATAATCAAGAATTTCTTTACGAATCAAATCTTGCTCGATTGCGTGAATTCTGCAAATATTTTTGAAATTATATTTCATGATAAAAAATTAAAATTGTATGTATCTCTCAAAAAATATCTTTTGGCGAAGATTTTTGAAATCATGGATCTTCTAGAATTTTTTAATAAAATTCTAGAATATAATTTCAAAAATCTTCGCCAAAAAGATCTAAATTTTTAATTGAAAATTCTAGAAGATTCATGATTTCAAAAATCTTTTTTAGATCTTTTGGCGAAGATTTTTGAAATCATTTATTTTCTAGAATTTTCCAATAAAATTCTAGATCTTTTTGCGAAGATTCTTGAAATCCTGGATCTTCCAGAATTTTCTGATAAACTTCTAGAACATAATTTCAAAAATCTTCGCCAAAAGATCTAAAATTTCAATAGAAAATTCTAGAAGATTCATGATTTCAAAAATCTTTTTTAGATCTTTTGGCGAAGATTTTTGAAATCATTTATTTTCTAGAATTTTCCAATAAAATTCTAGATCTTTTTGCGAAGATTCTTGAAATCCTGGATCTTCCAGAATTTTCTGATAAACTTCTAGAACATAATTTCAAAAATCTTCGCCAAAAGATCTAAAATTTCAATAGAAAATTCTAGAAGATTCATGATTTCAAAAATCTTTTTTGGATCTTTTGGCAAAGATTTTTGAAATCGTGGATCTTCTAGAAATTTCTAATAAAGTTCAAGAAGGCCTAAATTTAGGTGAACCATTTTTGGAAGACATTTCTTTTACTACAACAATTCTAATTTCCCCCCAAAATTCGTGAAAAAAACTAACTTGAATTGCATATCAATTTGGTTTATTTGCAAATAATTGCCACCATAAACAACACTATCCTTCGCGGTGAAAACATTGTGCAACCAACCGCCCGGCATTAAAAGTGTCATTCCGGCTTCCAATTCAAAAATGCGAACTTCTTCCAACATGGTGTCGAACAACCATTGTTTTCGGTCTTCTCGTTGCTCAAATTCGGCAATCGCCTTCAGATTTTTCTCGGTTGGTGGAGCTGCGAGAAAGACCTTCATTCCATTAACGATATTATAGAACACGTTACTGGCACCGAAATCGAAATGTGCGTTGGTGAAAGAATCACTCATTCCCACTAGGAGATAATTGCTAACCGCTGGTTGTAATCTTCTCTCCAATTTGTCCATGTCGATCAACTTTTCGGACATTGATAAATCTTTGACCATTCTTGGCGGTTCAAACATCGGCTTCAGTCTGTAAAAAACATGTTTAGTTTTCTATTAGATCTCAGATACTGTTGTTTTTTGAAATTCTAAATTCAATTAAGCACCCCCTTTTAAAAACTTACTGTGGGAGATTTGTGAATTCCAAGCTGATCGAATTGAGCGTCTTTTCACGGCCTTTTTTCTTTAACATCTCTTTGGTAAAAGTTCCAAGATCCATCTCTTCAGTTAATTGTGTTTCAACATCAATCACTTTCATCACATAATCAGCTCCTAATAAATCGCAAACGTTTTGGACATTGAAGTTGGCATCCGGGGTTTTGATTCCGAGTCCTTGCTTGTTTTTGACGATGTAAATTTTGTCATAGTATTCGACACCTCCTTTCTCAATCAATATCTTCTCCAATTCATAACCATTTTCAACGTATTCGATTTCTTCTTCAGATGGTTCGAGGAATAATGGTAAAAGCTTTTTTGAACTCGATAACCCATTCTTTTGTTCCAACATCCAAGTTCTTCTTGTTCAAGCTGGCCTGGAAAAAAATTTTATCTAATTTTTGTCTTTTTTTATCAGATATTGGTTTCTTTATTTTTCATCTCAAAAATTATCAAGAATTATTTTTTCATAAATAGTTTGTAAATTTTTAAAATTTTCGAGAAATTCAAAATTTCAGAGTAAACATTTTTTTAGAACTTCCAAATAAAAATTAAATTATGAAAAAAGTCTTGGGAATTTTTATTTGAAAGCTCCAGAATAAAGAACAATTCTGAAGTTGATAGAAATCTTTTTAAAATTTTTTGAAAATTTCAGCTGGATTTTTTCTCAGAGCTTTCAAATAAAAATTGAATTATGAAAAAAGGGTCTTGGGAATTTTAGAAAATCTTTTTAAAATAATTTAAAAAATTCAAAACTAGAGCTAGATATTTTTTCAGAACTTTTGAATAAAAATAAGACGATAAAAAAGTCCTTGGAATTTTTTCTGAAATTTCAGAACAAAAAAAAACAGTTCAATAATAATTCTTGATGTTTTTGGATTCAAAAAATTGGTTCTAAAGACCCAGAAATCTATTTTATTTCTTTCAGAATTATTCAGAAAATTTTTTAAAAATTCGAAAGTAGGAACAAAGTCTTTGAATTTTTTCCAAACAGAAAAAAGTTGCAAATTTTTCTAGAAATCATTCCGGATTTTGTGTTTGATAATCCAACATTCTTTCGCATTTTTTCTCATTAAATTTTCGATAAAGAAAAAATAAACTAACCACTGCTTTTTTCAAACGTTCCAATTGTCGCAATTGTTCAGCTGTTTTTCCGGTAGATGCTTGTGGAACTTGTGTTTCTTGAGATTTTTTGACAACGCTTTTTGAGCGAGAGCGTCTCTGTGTCGGTGAATCATCTCGAATTGGCAAATGGATTGGCGGAACCTGAAATTTTGATTTAGAGCTCAAATATAGAAAGAAACTATGTAAATTAATTATAAATCAATTAGAACAAAACTAACCTTTGAGGCTTTTCCCGATTTTGGAACTGAAATTGGTCCGCTTGAAGAAGGAAGATTTTGTGGAGAAGGAGTTCTTGCTCTTGATCTTGAACTTCTTGCAACAATTGATTCAATAACCGGTGGAGCCTAAAATTGTAATCAATATTTTTTGTGTTATTTCAAAATTTTTATTATTTTTTTATTAACTTTCCTAATCTAATTTTTGTTCTTTTTTCCCAAAACTATTTTTCTTCACACATTTTCTCAGTTTTAAACAGGAATTCAAAAAAGCTTCCCTAATTAATAATCAAAGTAGAAGTTCTGAAATTGGATTAGAATAATCTTTCGAATTTTTTAAGCTGGATTAAAATTTGGGTTCAAAATTAATTTTCAGATGAAATCCGAATTTTTTTCGGAGTTTGAAAAAGTTGAGACTTCAAAATGATTTATCAGATGAATTTAAAAAATCTCAAAATTATTTTGAGGCTTTGAAACAATTAAGAAATGTTGAAAAAAGATTTTTTGTGAAAAAAATATTTGGATTCAAAATTAATTTTTCAGACAAGTTATGTAATCCCTAAAGATTCCCTGAATCTTGTGAAGAATTTTGAAAAATTTAACTGATAAAAATATATTTTAAAAATATCCTAAAGTTCAATGAAAATTTGAAAAAAACTGAAATTAGTCTAACTTTCAAGAAGATGTTTTTTCAATTGTCACTGTAAAAACTCAAAAAAATAATGAACCTAATGCCAAAAAACCAGAGATTTTCACACTCTCACCGCACAAAAATATAGAGATAATAAAAAAATAAACTAACTGATAAATCTCTGGAATATCTTCCAACACTTCCTGCTGCTGCTGATGTTGATTGAGGCGCCGGTGTTTTTGCGCAAACACTCGCACTTCTTCTTTGCATTTTTTTCATATCATCAACCATCTTGTCACAAATCGCCAACGTTTTGTTAAATGCATTTTCCCACTCAACACGTAGAGCAGTGACTTCAGCAAGCTGAAATTCAAATTCAAATTGATCTCTGTTTGTATAGAGATTCTGACTTTGAAAAATTTGTTTGGTTACTTTCAGAACTAAATGTATTTTTCTCTAAATCTCCTTTTTTCTTGTATGCTTTGAAAAAAGTGCTAATTTCCCGAAAAAATATAGATATGAAAATTGAACTGACCAATTCATCTGCTCTTTGAGTAGCTCTCGCTTTTAACAATGCATAAGATGAGGATTGTGTGGCAACATCTGGACCAGCATTCAATGCAACCTGAAATTCGAATTCAAATTGATCTCTGTCTGGATTCTTATCTTCAAAAATTTTTTTTGGAATGGAAGAAATAGGCTTCAGTCTAATTTTCAAGAATTTTTTGTATTTCAAAATTCATTCTAAAAACTGAAGAACTAATCTCTTTTTTTTTGCTTACGGAAAATTTCCCAGAGATAAAAATTGAACTAACCGAATTATCAGCTTTTGATGTTCTTGTTGATCCTGAAGATGAAGAAACTGTATTTGCACCAGGATTTTGAGATTTCGATCTTGTCGTCATTCTTCTGGATACATCACTATCTTGCGCAGGAGACTCAGCAATCTGAAATTCAAATTCAAATTGATTTCTGTTAAGAAGATGTATTTCAATTCTCATTCTAAAAACTGAAGAACTAATCTCTCTTTTTTTCTTGCTAACAGCTTTGAACAATTAGAAAAAGTGGAAAATTTCCCAGAGATAAAAATTGAACTAACCGATTGATCAGCTCTTGATCTTCTTGTTGATCTTGAAGATGAAGAAACTGTATTTGCACCAGGATTTTGAGATTGGGATCTTGTCTTTCTTCTTGATGTTTCACTTTCTTGCGCAGAAATTGCAGCAATCTGAAATTCAAATTCAAATTGATCTCTGTTCAGATTCTTAATTGTAGATTTTTATATTCCTAGGGTCTGATTTTTAAAAATTTGTTTGAAATGGAAGAAATAGGCTTCAGTCTAATTTTCAAGAATTTTTTGTATTTCAATTTTCATTTTAAAAACTGAAGAACTAATCTCTTTTTTTCTTGCTAAACAGCTTTGAAAATGCTAATTTTCCAGAGATAAAAATTGAACTAACCGATTGATCAGCCCTTGATCTTCTTGTTGATCCTGAAGATGAAGCAACTGTATTTGCACCAGAATTTTGAGATTGGGATCTTGTCTTTCTTCTTGATGATTCATTTTCTGGCGCAGGCGTTTGAGCTCGAATTCTTGGCATTCTTCTCGATAATTCACTTTCTGGCGCAGGCGTTTGAGCTCTTGATCTTGTGATTCTTCTTGATCCTTCAATATCTTGCGCAGAAATTGCAGCAATCTGAAATTCAAATTCAAATTGATCTCTGTTCAGATTCTTAATTGTAGATTTTTATATTCCTAGATTTTGACTTTTAAAAATTTGTTTGGAATGGAAGAAATAGGCTTCAGTCTAATTTTCAAGAATTTTTTGTATTTCAATTTTCATTCTAAAAACTGAAGAACAAATCTCTTTTTTTTGCTAAACAGCTTTGAAAATGCTAATTTGCCAGAGATAAAAATTGAACTAACCGATTGATCAGCTTTTGATCTTCTTGTTGATCTAGGAGTTGTTGAAAATGTACCAGGCGTTTGAGCTCTTGATCTTGTGCTTCTTCTTGATAATTCAATTTCTGGCGCAGGCGTTTGAGCTCTTGATCTTGTAATTCTCATTGATACTTCATTTTCTGGCGCAGGAGATGCGGCAACCTGAAATTCAAATTCAAATTGATCTACAGTTTGAATTCTTAATTGTAGATTTTTCCAATTTTCCTCTAGAAACAGAAAAAACAGAAAAGTCTTCGAAAATCCCGTGGATATTTAGAAATATTGTGAAAAAAACTGACCTTTTGGCGCTTGTGCGAAACCGGTGCAACGCTTTTTGCTCTTTTTCTGGAACCAGTTTGTGATGCTTCGGCTGGTGTTGATTTGACGACGCTTCTAGCACGAGTTCGCGTGAAAATTCCAGATCCTTCTGCCTTTTTCTGCTCATTTGGCGCATTTTTTACAGATTTTGATCGACTTCTTGTTGTGACCATTTTTGGATTTTACTGAAAAAAAACACACTTTATGTTAAATCAATTTCATTATTTTAATAATTTTGAAAATAATGAAGAGGAATAATAAGGAGAGGTAAAAAAGGAGGTAGAAGAGAAATAAAGGAACAAAAATTCAACAAGAATTGAGGTTTTTCTAGAAGTTTGGGTAAATTCTGAAGGTTTTGGGAGCTTCTTAGAAGCTTAAAAAACTTCCTAAGTCAGAGAGAACATCTACAAGATCTAGACTATTTCTGAAACCTCGAGCGAATTCTCAAGGCTCTCGGAGATTTCTAAAGAAGTTTCTAAAAGTCGGAGAAGAAATTAACAAAAACTAGACTATTTCTAAAAGATCGTGCATATTCTGGAGGCTTATCGAAGTTGATCAAAGTTCCCATAAATTAAAGAAGAAATCTACAAGATCTAAAGAGCTGGTGAAAATTTTGAAGGTTTTGGGAGATTTCTAGAAGCTCAGATAAAAATTAAACACAGTCTTGGATAGTTTTGAAAGCTCAAACAAATTTTCAGGGCTCTTGAAAATTCCTAGAAGCTCAAAAAATTTCTGAGTCAGGGAAAAAATCTACAAGATCAAGAATTTCTTTCAAAAAATCATCCCAATTCTGAAGGCTCTGGAAAAATTCTAGAAGTCAGAGAAGTAATCTACAAGGTTCAGGCTATTTTTAAAAGACAGTGCCAAATTAAATCAAATCAAAACATCAGCAAAAAAATAATACATTTCAGACAAAAAAAAACAAGAAAATTAAGAATAGGTTTTACATTAGAAGATTGTTTTCAAAGTTTTCTAAAAATTCAAAATAATATTTGAATTCATCAAAATTATGGTTAGAAGTTGTTTTCTTGAAAGCCAAAAATGTTCGAAATTTGAATATTTTTGAATAAAAATTTAAAGATCAAATTTTCAGAATATAACAAAATAGATGATAAAAATTCAGCCGAAAAATAAAATAAAAATTCAGACAAAAAAAGCAGAAAAAATCAGACAACAATAATCAACCAGAAATTTTTTTGACACGTCATCAGAAATTTCAAATTCACATTTATGACGTCAAAATTATAGCATAAAATTCAGTTTGTAATTAGGAGTTTTAGGCGCCAAAAATATGAATGTGAAATTGTTTGATGGCGTGTTGAAAATTGGCGGGAATTCCAAATTTTTCATTTTTTCAAAGTAAGGGTGCCGAACTCAGCCAAGTTCTGCTTTGCCTAATTTCCCAGATTTATTCAAAAATCGTTCAAAAATGTGAAAAAGGGGTTTAACATTGGAAATTTTTCAAAGAGGGAGCCTAACTGAAAAAATTGGCTAGGGTGACCTATTCTATATTTGAGGCTATTTCTAAAAGCTCGTGCAAATTCTGAAAACTTTGGAAGATTTCTAGATACTCAAAGAAATTGCAATAAGTTCTAAAAGCTCACGCAAATTTTCAAGACTCTGAGAAAAAGAAGAAATCAACAAAAACTGAGGTTTGTCTAGAATCTCGAGTAGATTCTGAAGGCTCTGGGACAGTTCTAGAAGCTCAAAAAACGTTCTATTAATCAGGAAAGACATCTACAAAAACTGAAATTTTTCTAGAAGCTCGAGTACAATCTGAAGGCTCTGGGGCAGTTCTAGAAGCTCATGAAAACTTCTATAAGTCAGGGAAGAATTCGACAAAAATTGAAGTTTGATTATGATATTTCTTGAGGTTCACAAGAAATGATCAAGGAAGTACCCCCTTGATTTTTATATAAAACTGGTCTAAAACCGGAAAAATAATTTTGAGACCGGTTTTATAAAAAAATCAGGGGAGTATTTCCTCGATCATTCCTTGTCAGAAGAGTTCTAGAAGTTCTTAAGAAGGGATCTATGAGTCAGGAAAGAATTCAACAAAGTTTGAGAGTTTTCTAAAATCTCTCGTGCAAAAATCAGATGTCAAAACATCAGTGAAAAAAATTACATTTCCAACAAAAAATTCAACAAGAAAGTTCAGAATAAGTTCTATTGTTAGAATAGGTTTCAGAAGATTTTTCAAAAGTCATATATAGTCTGAAAAGTCTGAAACAGACTTCTCCACTGACTCATAGATAATTTAATGATCTTCTAGAAATCTCTCAGTCTTCAGAATCCACAAGATCTAGATTATTTTTTCGAAATCTCGTACAAATTTCTCACTAAAACTGTGTTCGGGTGAACTATTTACAGCCCTAGCAAACTCTGAAAACTTTGGGAGCTTTCTAGAAGCTCAAAATATTTTCTATAAATCAGAGAAGAAATCAATAAGGCTATTCTGAAGGCTTTGGTAGAATTGTAGGAGCTAAAAAAAAGTTTCTATGAGTCAGAGAAAACTTCAACAATATCTAGACTGATTCTAAAAGATCGTGAAAACTCTGAAGGTTTTGGGAGATGATTATAAATCAGAGAACAAATCTATAAATCTATAAGGTTCAGGCTATTCATACATGAAATTGGACCTCAGAATCAGCGTGAGGGGCTTGACTTTTTTTCAAAAATCAAAACTGAAGGGTGCCGAACTCAGCCAAGTCCTGCTAATAATTCCCCTAATTCTCCAGATTTATTCAAAAATCGTTCAAAATTGTGAAAAAGGGGGTTAACTTTGGAAATTTTTCAAAGAGGAAAACTAACCGAAAAAGTTGGCTAGGGGGACATTTATGTATGAGGCTATTTCTGAAAGCTCGTGCAAATACTGAAGGTTTTGGGATATTTCTAGAAGCCTAAAAAAGTTCCCATAAGCCAGAGAAGAAATTTACAAGGTCCAGAAGATTTCTAAAAGATCGCGAATGGTCTGAAGACTTTGGTAGAATTGTAGAAACTCGAATAAGTTTCTATAAGTCAAGAAAAGAAATCAACAAAAACTGAAATTTTTCTAGAAGCTCGAGTACATTCTGAGGGTTCTGGGACAGTTCTAAAAGCTCAAAAAACTTTCTATAAATCAGAGAAGACATCTACAAGATTTTCAGAGGTTCCAAGAAGCTCAAAAAAAGTTTCTAAAAGTCGGAAGAGAAATCTAAAAGATCTAGGATATTTCTAAAAGATCGTGTGAGCTCCAAAGACTTTTGAAGAATTCTAAAAGGCCCTAGAAGCCCGGGAAAATCCTATAGGCCCTAGTAACATGTAACCTAAAAAATCAATAAAAACTGTGGCTTCAGAAAAAAAAAATAAACAGAAATCAACAGAAAAAAAGAAATTAACAGAAATAAAAAAAAAAGAAATTAACAGAAATAAAAAATAAAATAAAAATAAATCAACAAATAAATCAGACAAAAATAATCAATCAGAAATTTTTCGAAGTTTTTTTTAAAAGGATTTCAAATAGGTTTTCGAAGGTTTTTTTTTCTAAAAGTTTCAAATCAAATCAAAATTCCTCAAAATTATAGTTAGAAGTTTTTTTCTTGGAAGCCAAAAATGTTTGAAGTTCGAATATTTTTAAATAAAAATTTTTAAGATAAATTTTTCAGAATATAACAAAATAGATAATAAAAAATCAGACGAAAAATAAAATAAGAATTCAGACAAAAAAAATCAGAAAAAATCAGACAAAAATAATCAACCAGAAATTTTTCGAAGTTTTTTCTAAAAAGGAATTAAAATAGGTTTTCGAAGGTTTTTTTTTCTAAAATTTTCAAAAAATTTCAAATAATATTTAAATTCATCAAAATTATAGTTAGAAGTTTTTTTCATGGAAGCCAAAAATGTTTGAAATTCGAATATTTTTAAATAAAAATTTTTAAGATCAAATTTTCAGAAAATAACAAAATAGAAGATAAAAATTCAGCCGAAAAATAAAATAAAATCAGACAAAAAATCAGAAAAAATCAGACAAAAATAATCAACCAGAAATTTTTTTACACGCCATCAAAAATTTCAAATTCACAATTTTTGACGCCAAAATTATAGCATAAAATTCAGTTTTTATCTAGAAGTTTTTGGAGTCAAAAAAATTTGAAAATGAAATTGTTTGATGGCGTGTTGAAAATTGGCGGGAAATTTAGATTTTCCAAAAGAATTTAGAAGAAATTTAGATTTTAGCAAGAAGCCTAGAATTTTCACCAGAAAAATATAAAGATTTTGTTTTGAGAATTCGAAAAATCTACATTTCCCGCCAATTTTTTAAACATGTCAATGAAATTTTGTCAAACATTTTCGAACTCAAACATTTTTCACAGGTTTTTGCGCAAAAACGTTCGAATTTTCGAAATTTTTCAAAGAAAGGTTATAATTGTTTGTTTTGATTTTCATTTTTTCAGTTTCAAAAAAGGTTCTCAAACTAAAAATTCAATTTCGAAAATGTTTGACAAAATTTCAAAGACATATCAGAATTTTTCCTAGAATTCAAATAAATCAACTAACCTTCGTCTCCGAGATGGCGAGGCGGAAGAAGAAGAGTTGAGTTGTCGGTTTGTCGAATCGTCGAAATCCTCCGAACTGCAAAAACCATTTTAGAATTAAAAATTGATAAAAGAAACAACGAAAAGCGAATTATGAAGAGAAGAATACAGAAAAAGAGATAAAAACAATGTTTTATAAGATTACTCGAAAATCTCAAATACAACCTACAAATTAGTTGAAGTCTAGAATAACACAATTCATTCAAAAGTTGACAGAATAGCCAAATAACTATCAATCCTAGCCAAGAAAAAGCGAAAAAGTCAACAAAAAAAACAGAAAATCACAAGAAAAATTGGACGATTTCACAGTCAGACTGTATTCTAGAACATTCTCAAAAGAACTTTCTAGAAAATTCTGATAGAAGTTTCTAGAAAAACGAAGAAAAGTCTCGAAATTTCTAGCAAAAATGACGAAAAACATCTTGAAATACACGAAAAACACCGCGAACAGAAAACTATATTCAAAATATGCGAAGAGGAAACAAATGAGAAAGGGGGAGGGAGAAACACAAAAAGTGTCAGCCAACCGCGTTTGGCGCATTTTGTTTGCAACAAAAAGAGAAAAGAGGAAAAAAACAAAAATGAACAAGATTTGCTTTGATAAAATAGACAACTAGGTGAATTAGGAACGAAAATTCTCGGGAAACGGTGAATATCAACTATGAAAGTAATGAAAAGCATTCATTTTTGAAGACAAAATTAACCGAAAATAAGAAGAACGAATGCACAAACGTTGTTAAAAACGAAAACTGAGTAAATGAGGAAAGGAAATGAACGAAAACCAGTGAAAATCAACTACAACATGAGGAAAAACATTATTTTTGGATGAAAATTGATAAAAGAAACAACGAAAAGCGGAATATGAAGAGAAGAATACAAAAAAGAAAGAAAAAACAATGTTTTATAAGATTACTCGAAAATCTCAAATACAACCTATAAATTAGTTGAAGTCTAGAACAACACATTTCATTCAAAAGTCATCAGAATACCCAAAACACTATCAATCCTAACCAAAAAAAGCGAAAAAATCAACGAGAAAACAGAAAATGACAAGAAAAATGAGAAGATTTCACAGTCAGAATGAATTCTAGAACATTCTCAAGAGAGTATTCTAGAAAATTCTGATAGAAGTTTCTAGAAAAACGAAGAAAAGTCTCGAAATTTCTCGGAAAAATGACAAAAAACAGCATGAAATCCAAGAAAAACACAGAGAACAGAAAACTATATTCAAATAATGCAATGAGGAGAAAAAAGAGGAAGGGGGGGGGAAGACACACACAGAAAGTGTCAGCCAACTAACCGCGTTGGCGCATTTAGAGTGCATACGAGGAAAAGAGGAAAAAAACAAAAAAGGACGAGATTTGCTTTGATAAAATAGACAACTAGGTGAATGAGGAAAGAATAAGTACGAGAAACAATGAATAACAACTATAAAAATGAAGAAAATCAACTTTTGTAAGCGAGAATAATGTGAAGTTGAAAGAAACGGATAAGAATAAGTTGGTAATATCAAAAACTGAGTATTTGAGGGAAGAAAATGAACAAAAACAATGAATATCAACTACAAAAGTGAGGAAAAACATACTTTTTGGATGAAAAATATAAGCGATAATAAAGAGTTCGAATACACAAACGTTGTCAAAATGGAAAACTGATGACTATTTGATTGAAAAACAACTACTAAAATGAACAAAAGCATAGATTTCGGAGGCAAAATGAACTGAATTTGTGGAAAATGAATAAACAAAAGTCGGTAAACCGAAAAACTATAATATTAGGAAGGAGAAATGAACAAAAAACAGAGAGAATAATACTTTTGTGAGCGAAAATGAAGTGAATTTATGGGGAAACTGTGGGAAATGGAAAACTAAATGATGAGAAATCGAAAAACTAGGTAAATGAGAAAGGAAATAGCTCGAAAAATACTAAAAATAACAAACAAAAAAGACAAAAATTATCAATTTGATTAACAAAATGAAGAGAAAATGTGAGAAATGGATAACTAAACAAAATGGATAACTGAACCGTACTTTTGTGACCGAAAAAATGTCATCAGAATAGCCAAAATACTATCAGTCCTAACCAAAAAAGCGAAAAAATCAACGATAAAACAACAAATCACAAGAAAAATGAGAAGATTTCACAGTCAGAATGTCATTTAACGAAGGAAATCATACTTTTGTGAACGAAAATAAGTGAAATGGTAAAGAATGAATGGGTGAACATGGACAAAATGAAAAACTATGATATTAGGAGGGGAAAATTCGTTGAAAAAATTCAACAAATACCGAAATTTCGAAAAAAACCGAAATTTCGAAAAAAAATTCAACAAGAAAAAACAGAAAATCACAAGAAAAATGAGAAGATTTCACAGTCAGAATGTATTCTAGAACATTCTCAAAAGAAAATTCTAGAACATTCTGATATAATTTTCTAGAAACATGAAGAAAAATCTCGAAATTTCAAGCAAAAATGACGAAAAACAGCTTGAAATGCAAGCAAAACACCGCGAACAAAAACTACATTCAAAATATGCGAGAATGAGGAAAAGGAGGAAGAGGGAAGGAGAAACATAGAAAGTGTCAGCCAACCGCGTTTGGCGCATTTGATGTGCACACAAAAAGAGAAAAGAGGAAAAAAACAAAAATGAACAAGATTTGCTTTGATAAAATAGACAACTAGGTGAATTGAGAAAAGAAAATTCACGGGAAACAATGAATTACAACTATGAAATTGAAGGAAATCAAGCATTGTGTGAGCGAAAATGAAGAGAAACTGTGAGAAACGGAAAGGAATGAGTTGATAAAATAGAAATAAGGTATATGAAAAACGAAAATGAACAAAAAACAGTGAAAATCACCTACAAAAGTGAGGAAAATCATACATTTGGAAGAGAAAATGAAGCGAATATGTGGAGAACGAATAGAGAAAAGTTAATAATATCAAAAACTGAGTATTTTAGGGAAGAAAATAGACAAAAAACAATGGAAATCATCTACAAAAGTATGAAAAATCATACATTTGGAAGGGAAAATGAACCGAATATGTGGAGAACGAAGAGAAAAAAGTTGGTAATATCAAAAATTGAGTATTTGAGAGAATAAAATAGACGAAAATGAATTAAAAACATCTACAAAAGTATGAAAAATCATACATTTGGAAGGAAAACTAACGTTGTCAAAAGGAAAAACAGAGTATTTGATTGAAAAACAACTACTAAAATGACCAAAAGCATAGATTTTGGAGGCAAAACAGACTGAATTTGTAGAAAACGAATAAGCAAAAGTCGGCAAACCGAAAAACTACGATATTGTGAAAGAAAAATGACAAAAAAACAGAGAGAATCATAGTTTTGTAAGCGAAAATGAAGTGAATTTATGGGGAAACTGTGGGAAATGGAAAACTAAATGATGAGAAATCGAAAAACTAGGCGAATGAGGAAAGAAAATGCTCGAATAACACTAGAAATCACTGACAAAACATAAAAAAAATCATCAATTTGATTAACAAAATGAAGAGAAACTGTGAGAAATGAATAACTAAATGATGAGGAATCGAAAAACTAGGTAAATGAGGAAGGAAAATGCTCGAAAAACAATGGAAACCATCTACAAAAGTGAGGAAAAACATACTTTTTGGAAGAAAAATAAAGCGATAATAAAGAGAACGAACACACAATTGTTGTCAAAATGGAAAACTGATGAGTATTTGATTGAAAATTTGTGGAAAATGAATGAGCAATAGTAGGTAAACCGAAAAAATACGATATTAGGTAGGAAAAATGAACAAAAAACAGCGAGAATCATACGTTTGTGAGCGAAAATAAAGTGAATTTTTAGAGAAACTGTGAGAAATGGATAACTAAATGATGAGGAATCGAAAAACTAGGTGAATGAGGAAGGAAAATGCTTGAAAAACACTAAAAATCACTCAGAAAAAAAAACAAAAATAATGAAAATTTTGTCAAACATTTTCGAACTCTAACTTTTTTCACTGGTTTTTGCACAGAAAAACTTTGATTTTTAGTTTCAAAAAAAGGTTCTCAAACAAAAAGTTCAAATTCGAAAATGCTTGACAAAATATCAAAGACCTATCAGAATTTTTCCTAGAATTCAGAAAAAAAAACAAACTAACCTTCGTCTCCGAGGTGGCGAGGCGGTAGAGTCGAGGCGAGTTGTCGGATGTCGAATCGACGAAATCCACGAACCTGCAAAACCATTTTGGAATTGAAAATTGATAAAAGAAAGAACGAAAAGCGGAATATAAAGAGAAGAATACAAAAAAAAGAGAGAAAAAAACAATGTTTTATGAGATTACTCGAAAATCTCAAATACAACCTACAAATTAGTTGAAGTCTAGAACAACACAATTCATTCAAAAGTCATCAGAATAGCCAAAATACTATCAATCCTAACCAAAAAAGCGAAAAAATCAACGAAAAAACGGAAAATCACAAGAAAAATGAGAAGATTTCACAGTCAGAATGTATTCTAGAACATTCTCAAGAGAAAATTCCAGAAAATTCTGATAGAATTTTCTAGAAAAATGAAGAAAAATCTCGAATTTTCAAGCGAAAATGACGAAAAACATCTTGAAATACACGAAAAACACCGCAAATGGAGGAAAACTATATTCAAAATATGCAATGAGGAGGAGAAAAAAAGAGGAAGGGGGGAGGAGAAACATAGAAAGTGTCAGCCAAGCGCGTTGGCGCATTTTATGTGCACACAAAAAGAGAAAAGAGGAAGAAAGCATTGGAAAACATCTACAAAAGTATGAAAAATCATACATTTGGAAGGAAAAATGAACCGAATATGTGGAGAACGAATAGAGAAAAGTTAATAATATCAAAAATTGAGTATTTGAGAGAAGAAAATGCACGAAAAACAATGAAAATCATCTAGAAAAGTATCAAAAATCATAGTTTGTGAAGGGAAAATAAACCAAATATGTGGAGAACGAAGAGAAAAAAGTTGCTAATATCAAAAATTGAGTATTTGAGAGAAGAAAATGCACGAAAAACAATGAAAAACATCTATAAAAGTATGAAAAATCATACATTTGGAAGAGAAAATGAATCGAATATGTGGAGAACGAATAGAGAAAAGTTAATAATATCAAAAATTGAGTATTTGAGAGAAGAAAATGCACGAAAAACAATGAAAAACATCTACAAAAGTATCAAAAATCATACTTTTGGAAGGGAAAATGAACCGAATATGTAGAGAACGAATAGAGAAAAGTTGGTAATATCAAAAACTGAGTATTTGAGAGAAGAAAATGCACGAAAAACAATGAAAAACATCTACAAAAGTATCAAAAATCATACTTTTGGAAGAGAAAATGAACCGAATATGTGGAGAACGAAGAGAAAAAAGTTGGTAATATCAAAAACTGAGTATTTGAGGGAAGAAAATGCACGAAAAACAATGAAAAACATCTACAAAAGTATCAAAAATCATACTTTTGGAAGAGAAAATGAATCGAATATGTGGAGAACGAATAGAGAAAAGTTGGTAATATCAAAAACTGAGTATTTGGGGGAAGAAAATGCACGAAAAACAATGAAAAACATCTACAAAAGTATCAAAAATCATACTTTTGGAAGAGAAAATGAACCGAATATGTGGAGAACGAAGAGAAAAAAGTTGGTAATATCAAAAACTGAGTATTTGAGGGAAGAAAATGCACGAAAAACAATGAAAATCATCTACAAAAGTATCAAAAATCATACTTTTGGAAGAGAAAATGAATCGAATATGTGGAGAACGAATAGAGAAAAGTTGGTAATATCAAAAACTGAGTATTTGGGGGAAGAAAATGCACGAAAAACAATGAAAAACATCTACAAAAGTATCAAAAATCATACTTTTGGAAGAGAAAATGAATCGAATATGTGGAGAACGAATAGAGAAAAGTTGGTAATATCAAAAACTGAGTATTTGAGGGAAGAAAATGCACGAAAAACAATGAAAAACATCTACAAAAGTATCAAAAATCATACTTTTGGAAGAGAAAATGAATCGAATATGTGGAGAACGAATAGAGAAAAGTTGGTAATATCAAAAACTGAGTATTTGAGGGAAGAAAATGCACGAAAAACAATGAAAAACATCTACAAAAGTATCAAAAATCATACTTTTGGAAGAGAAAATGAATCGAATATGTGGAGAACGAATAGAGAAAAGTTGGTAATATCAAAAATTGAGTATTTGGGGGAAGAAAATGGACAAAAAACAATGAAAATCATCTACAAAAGTATCAAAAATCATACTTTTGGAAGAGAAAATGAAGCGAATATGTGGAGAACGAATAGAGAAAAGTTGGTAATATCCAAAACTGAGTATTTTGGGGAAGAAAATAGACGAAAAACAATGAAAATCATCTACAAAAGTATGAAAAATCATACTTTTGGAAGAGAAAATGAATCGAATATGTGGAGAACGAATAGAGAAAAGTTGGTAATATCAAAAATTGAGTATTTGGGGGAAGAAAATGGACAAAAAACAATGAAAATCATCTACAAAAGTATCAAAAATCATACTTTTGGAAGAGAAAATGAAGCGAATATGTGGAGAACGAATAGAGAAAAGTTGGTAATATCCAAAACTGAGTATTTTGGGGAAGAAAATAGACGAAAAACAATGAAAATCATCTACAAAAGTATGAAAAATCATACTTTTGGAAGAGAAAATGAATCGAATATGTGGAGAACGAATAGAGAAAAGTTGGTAATATCAAAAATTGAGTATTTGGGGGAAGAAAATGGACAAAAAACAATGAAAATCATCTACAAAAGTATGAAAAATCATACTTTTGGAAGAGAAAATGAATCGAATATGTGGAGAACGAATAGAGAAAAGTTGGTAATATCAAAAATTGAGTATTTGGGGGAAGAAAATGGACAAAAAACAATGAAAATCATCTACAAAAGTATCAAAAATCATACTTTTGGAAGAGAAAATGAAGCGAATATGTGGAGAACGAATAGAGAAAAGTTGGTAATATCCAAAACTGAGTATTTTGGGGAAGAAAATAGACGAAAAACAATGAAAATCATCTACAAAAGTATGAAAAATCATACTTTTGGAAGAGAAAATGAATCGAATATGTGGAGAACGAATAGAGAAAAGTTGGTAATATCAAAAACTGAGAATTTGAGGGAAGAAAATGCACGAAAAACAATGAAAAACATCTACAAAAAGTATGAAAAATCATACTTTTGGAAGAGAAAAATGAATCGAATATGTGGAGAACGAATAGAGAAAAGTTGGTAATATCAAAAACTGAGAATTTGAGGGAAGAAAATGCACGAAAAACAATGAAAAACATCTACAAAAGTATGAAAAATCATACTTTTGGAAGAGAAAATGAACCGAATATGTGGAGAACGAATAGAGAAAAGTTGGTAATATCCAAAACTGAGAATTTGAGGGAAGAAAATGCACGAAAAACAATGAAAAACATCTACAAAAGTATGAAAAATCATACATTTGGAAGGAAAAATGAACCGAATATGTGGAGAACGAATAGAGAAAAGTTAATAATATCAAAAATTGAGTATTTGAGAGAAGAAAATGCACGAAAAACAATGAAAATCATCTAGAAAAGTATGAAAAATCATACATTTGGAAGGAAAAATGAACCGAATATGTGGAGAACGAATAGAGAAAAGTTGGTAATATCAAAAACTGAGAATTTGAGGGAAGAAAATGCACGAAAAACAATGAAAAACATCTACAAAAGTATGAAAAATCATACATTTGGAAGGAAAAATGAACCGAATATGTGGAGAACGAATAGAGAAAAGTTAATAATATCAAAAATTGAGTATTTGAGAGAAGAAAATGCACGAAAAACAATGAAAATCATCTAGAAAAGTATGAAAAATCATACTTTTGGAAGAGAAAATGAATCGAATATGTGGAGAACGAATAGAGAAAAGTTGGTAATATCAAAAACTGAGAATTTGAGGGAAGAAAATGCACGAAAAACAATGAAAAACATCTACAAAAGTATGAAAAATCATACATTTGGAAGGAAAAATGAACCGAATATGTGGAGAACGAATAGAGAAAAGTTAATAATATCAAAAATTGAGTATTTGAGAGAAGAAAATGCACGAAAAACAATGAAAATCATCTAGAAAAGTATCAAAAATCATAGTTTGTGAAGGGAAAATAAACCAAATATGTGGAGAACGAAGAGAAAAAAGTTGCTAATATCAAAAATTGAGTATTTGAGAGAAGAAAATGCACGAAAAACAATGAAAAACATCTATAAAAGTATGAAAAATCATACATTTGGAAGAGAAAATGAATCGAATATGTGGAGAACGAATAGAGAAAAGTTAATAATATCAAAAATTGAGTATTTGAGAGAAGAAAATGCACGAAAAACAATGAAAAACATCTACAAAAGTATCAAAAATCATACTTTTGGAAGGGAAAATGAACCGAATATGTAGAGAACGAATAGAGAAAAGTTGGTAATATCAAAAACTGAGTATTTGAGAGAAGAAAATGCACGAAAAACAATGAAAAACATCTACAAAAGTATCAAAAATCATACTTTTGGAAGAGAAAATGAACCGAATATGTGGAGAACGAATAGAGAAAAGTTGGTAATATCAAAAACAGAGTATTTGAGAGAAGAAAATGCACGAAAAACAATGAAAAACATCTACAAAAGTATCAAAAATCATACATTTGGAAGAGAAAATGAACCGAATATGTGGAGAACGAATAGAGAAAAGTTAATAATATCAAAAATTGAGTATTTGAGAGAAGAAAATGCACGAAAAACAATGAAAAACATCTACAAAAGTATGAAAAATCATACATTTGGAAGGAAAAATGAACCGAATATGTGGAGAACGAATAGAGAAAAGTTAATAATATCAAAAATTGAGTATTTGAGGGAAGAAAATGCACGAAAAACAATGAAAATCATCTAGAAAAGTATCAAAAATCATAGTTTGTGAAGGGAAAATAAACCAAATATGTGGAGAACGAAGAGAAAAAAGTTGCTAATATCAAAAATTGAGTATTTGAGAGAAGAAAATGCACGAAAAACAATGAAAAACATCTACAAAAGTATGAAAAATCATACATTTGGAAGGAAAAATGAACCGAATATGTGGAGAACGAATAGAGAAAAGTTGGTAATATCAAAAACTGAGTATTTGAGGGAAGAAAATGCACGAAAAACAATGAAAAA